TCCAATAACATTCAGTTTAACCCAACATTGCGACCCATATTTTTTTACCCTTCTATTGGGGAAAACTAAGAACAAAGCATTTTTTTTGAGTTTTTAATGGCACTTTCAGCGAGATGCAAATATTCCTTTAGTATCATCGCCAAAGCTCTTTCTATTTTCTTTTATATTATTCTGTCAATATTCTGTCTCAAAAGGCTTTCTGAAATCAGTTTTGTCAAGTGTCTAATAAGGCAGCGAGGTAACAAATCAGCTGCCCGTATTAGGAGGCTGCCATTGCATATTTCTCTTTGATATCCATAAAATGTATTAAACATGGTTAAGAGAATGATATGATGATCGAATTATCATATTGAAATAATGACAGAATTGTATTTTTTTATTAAGTCAATATGGTCATATTAGCGAAACACTCCTTTGTTTCTAGATTATTTATACTTCTTATTGCCCATTCTAAGATGTGCCAGTCAATGAAGGTGGGCAATTCCTGTGTGAAACATGTGTGAAAGGATCAGTCACAAATAAGATGTGAAGGCTTGGTACTCCCTCTGCTGCACAATCAATGAAAAAAAATCTATGAAAAAAATCTGCAGTTTACTGAGATTCTATGCACGAACTCTCTGTTTTACATACACATTCAGCGTGACACAAAACATCAAGTTGTTACTTAAGCTAGCTCATGTTTTCATATTGTACATAAGGGGTGCTTTCCTCTGAATTCTTATCGCTTGGCAACAGAAGCTTGAGGCTGATTGGAGGATAGCAAGGTAAACAGCGTGACATTGAAGAAGCAGTGAATGAGTTTAGCATGCGGTCTGATCCTCACACTTTCATCACTCTGAACGGATTTTGGAGAACTAGGAGAAAAAAAGCGTTCAAATGCGCTCTACGGGGTATCCTTTTCGCAAAGCCTGTCCCTCGAAACACCCCAGGGCACCAAAATGTCGGCAAAGGGCAGAAATAACGATTGAAGCAGTAAAATAATCCGCCCTGACACATACAAGCTCCCGCTGAGAATTGAAGCTCTCTGCTTATAAAATATTGAAGAGCTACGAACACAATTCTGTCTCCCAGAGCTGTCAGCAATTCTACTCTGATGGAGAAAAAAGCTCAATAGGAAGTGCAAAACGGCAGGATACAAATTACCTCTCATTTTCACCAACAGAGGTCAGTCTTTTCAAAGTTTTACTGTGTGTCGTATGGCAAGCCGAAGTATTCGCAAGTAGGCTGGTGTCTAACTAGTACCAAAATAATGTCAATAATTGATGATTCAAAACACTCCACTTTTATTAGAAAATAGGTTCATTTTGCAACTTTCCTAGTGTTTAACAGATGAGTTTAGGTTTAGTATAGCTTATTGTCCTATTTAAAGCTCATCATCTGAAGAAACAATGCATATAAGATCAACACAAAATGAAAAGTTGCTGTCTTGGTTGTAATGTTCTAGGAAATTACTTGCCTTAAAGGGTCTTTGATTATAACGCCAGTATAAGTGAAAAGATTTATACCTGTTATAATCAAAGACTCTTTAAGACAAGTGATTTCATTTGGTGGCCATCTTTGAAACACCTCACAGGCAGTATGCTCAGGCATTCTGCCTGAATGAGAAAACATCAAATTCTCCAAAACTGTTTGCCAAGCTTACAATTACATTACATATTTGGAATCAGCAGTAAAATTAAACGACGAATGTCTTGTAAGTTTAATTTCTAAACGTCTTAGTCAAACAAAATCTGCATATTTTCAGGTTTGTCTGAGCTAAAACGCATGTGCACTCAATTAGAACGAGATCACAACACGTTTTAGACATTATCATCCTCTGGCTAATGATCGTCTGATCGCATTGCTCTTCTAAAGTTATTCACAAGTTGGTCTTAAAGGTGAATCTTCTCCAGAAATGACAGCGACTCTTTGTTTACAAGTTTGTGGGTGTTTAAGTAGTTGCTGCTGTCATGTGATGTGTGTTTGGCAGGACGGCCATAATCAAAAAAACTTTTGCTTTCAAGTGCACTTTGTTCATTTAAAAGTACAGATTTATGTGTATTTATTATTATGTCAGTAGCTATGTTTCCATCTAAAAATGTGAATTAACTTTGTGCAAAACTGGATTATCGCATAAAAGATGTGTGAATAAAGCAGCAAGTCAAAGTGAACAAAATCGTCACTTCCTGATTATCTAGCGCCAAATGTCAACAGTAAAAATGTAATTTCCTGCAGTAAGAGAAGCTGCATGAATCTTTTCTTCATTTATTAAATGTCTTGTGCCTCAGAAGGCAGAGCACTTGAGACTTGTAGCACAGACACTCTCGATTTTGGAGGTCATTATAATAATATATTAAAAATAATACTGACAGGCATTTTAGAATGACCAAAACTAAATTTCAGATGTTTTACAATGTGCTCAGCCTCCTTGTTTGTTTATTCACTCACATGATCTCTTATAACAAAATCACATGACCTTTTTTAATGTGCATACTGAAATTAGTTTGGTAAAAGTGTTTCCACTGCAGTTTATGCTCATCTTTACTTATCGAATAAAAAGTTTATCCAACTCAGTTATGTGCATGTGTTTTTTATGCACATATCCAAAATCTGCATAAAAATAGGTGGATGGAAACGTAACTTGTAAAGCTAGTATTCACTGAGATTCCAATGCGTTTGTTGACCACCAAACTGTCATAAAAGCACTTGTCTGGTCTGAGCTTTCTCCCTGGAGAAACGTCAGTCTATAGCGATCAATGATTGGCTCAAGCAGGCTTTATTCTCCATATTTCCCATTACACTTTCCCCCTTTCAAAATAGTGACATGTTTTGTGTATTCTATCATCTTTATTATAATCAAGGCATTTTAATTACTTTCTTAGAAGCAAAGTTTCCTGATTATTACGCAGGAATGAGAGATTTTTCATCTGCCTTAGTTCACTGTGTAACTATAAATATTATAGCTTTAAATATGAATATTATCGAAACTCTTTGGTTCTTTTTGAGTGAGATGCTAATGGTCTAAACCGATATATTGATTTATGTTAAACTAAGCTAAGCTACTCCTGCCATACTTGGGGATTGGATGAATGCATTAATAAATGGTAAAATTCAACTTAAGGGGAGTAAAATGAGCCTATTTTCAAAATTGTAGAGTGTTCTGTACTAATGTTAGTACAAATGAAGTAGTGGAATTTAACTGAAAATATGGAGATACTATGTTTTATAGATAAAATGTTAAAATGGCTTGCCATAATGGTATAACTGGTTTTGTCTGTGAATATTCTGCAGCTGGATTTGTGTGAAAATCTGTTAAAAATGTCTGTGAAATAATGAAAAGAAAAAAACAGTCACAGATGTGTTTATTAAAGTATATTATAAAGTGATTTAAAATGTGGAATATAGGAATGGAAAAAAGCATAATGTTTAATCAACGTTAAACATTTAACACCCCCCCCCAGCTCTAAATAAACCAACGAGTAGGCTATTACTGGTCTAAACAATCACCGAACGAGTAAAAATGGCAATAATAATGATAACTGATCATTAATAACCATAAGAACAAATTACAGAGTAGGTGAAAAGGTCACGCTCATGTCCGAATGCACAGACAGTCATAATCATTCTGACTGAATGGAGCTGCAATTACTGTGAGAGGCTTTATAGAGGTTAAGTCTTTTGTGTGCCCCTTACACTGGTGAGGGCTTGGCACATTGTCTGCATTTTTACAGTGCTTGACGAATGAGGAATCTTGCTATATTTCTGAGATCACAATAACAAAACTACCATTTGAGCAGCTCTGTAGAATACATATTTAAATACACATAAAAATGGATTCATTCATTCATTTTCTTTTCGGCTTAGTGCCTTTATTAATCTGGGGTCGCCACTGCGGAATGAACCGCCAACTTTTCCAGCATATGTTTTCCACAGCAGATGCCCTTCCATCGGCAATCCATCTCTGGGAAACATCCACACACACTCATACTCTACTGACAATTTAGCCTACCCAATTCACCTGTACTGCATGTCTTTGGACTGTGGGGAAAACCGGAGCACCCGGAGGAAACCCACGCAAACACGAGGAGAACATGCAAACTCCACACAGAAATGCCAACTGACCCAGCCGTGGCTCGAACCAGCGACCTTTTTGTGAGAGGCGACAGCACTACCTACTGCATCCCTGTGTCAGCCTTAATAAATATTTACATGTTTAATTTAAAATTATTTTAAAAAGTAGAGAGTAATTAGAACACCAGAGAAAAACAAACATACATTTGCTAATCAGGGGCAGATTTAATCAATATGCAAGGTAAGCGGCTGCTTGGGGCTCCAGGATATCAAGGGGCCCCCAATAAATATCTTGAAGTATAAATTATACCTATAAACTATATATAACATTGTTTTCTAACACATTTTGTATAACAGTTATGCAAATAAAATTATTAGGTAATTAAATGTTATTTTATATACAATAAAATATACTATTAATATTACTATGTTATGTAATAATAATACTACTAAAACATATCCACCACCATCAATCATGGAGCCATATATATATATATATATATATATATATATATATATATATATATATATTCAATAAATTCATTTTAAGCAATCTAATTATTTAAAATGTAAAATTGTAAATGTGTTAAAGAAGTTTTAAGTTTTTTTTTTTTAAAGTAAAACATGTAAATGTATTGAGATAAAACGTAGAAAAGAATATATAGTGATAGTGATATAGTGACAAAATAAAAAAAATAATAATTAAAAGTAGAAAGGATACATTTCAGGACTTGGGGCCCCCAAATCCCTAAATCCGCCACTGTTGCTAAAATCTGTAAGCTCTTCATTCACGGAGTTCCCTGTTGAACCGAGTGTTTGGGTCTGGTCAACGAGAGGACGCTTCGGCTGTTTTCAGTGCATATGAGCTCCTGATGAGGTCAGTGCTCGCCGCCTCCCGGTGTCAATCAAACAATGGCGTCACACACATATCCCCAGCGTTTCCGGTGCGGGTGGGCGGGGCTCCGCTATCCCGGGTCTGGATTCTTCATTCGGGAACGCTAGACAAGGCTGAACACGAATGCAGCCATATTCGGCTTCGCGGAGCAGCACACCGGCTAGTCCCGCTCACACTCGAGGATTCGCCTACCTCGAGAAATCACCCAGTTTTGTGGGGGGCGTGTTTATGTAGGTCCAAGGTGTGTGTAGTTCTTCGTTTATTCCTGAAGAATTCCAGCTGAGCGGAATGAGCGTCCAGTCATCCTGAGATTCGACGGGAGAAAAAGCCCCGACACATCCCGCAAAGTGGAAAGTACAGATTTGTCCGGATTAAGGCGAATGGAGCCGACGGGGCCTCAGGAGTGAGGAGGGGGGAGGAAAGGCTGGAAACCGGCGGACAACAGCGGGGTTAGGCGCATTAGGGCTTCGTTTATCTCAGCACAATGTTGGGCACATTTTGCTAGCTGGCTAGCTGGATGGCTGGCTAGCAGTTGGAGTCTGGGACTTCAGAGCTCCACACGTTTTGGCCAGATAAACACCAACTGTGTGTATTTATAACGCGAATACCGGTTATATTAAATCCGACAAGTGTTATTTCACATCTTCTGGCTCTGGGAGTGGTAGCCAGGCCGCTAAATTGGTAGAAAATGTCTGCGAAGGTGCGCCTGAAGAAGTTGGAGCAGTTGCTGCTGGATGGCCATCAGAAAAACGACAAGTCACTGAGTGTGGAGACACTGCTGGATATTCTCATATGTTTATACAACGAGTGCAGCAACTCGCCCTTAAAACGGGAAAAACACGTGACGGACTTTTTGGAATGGGGTAAGTTGATGGATTTGAGTGCATTAGTGACCGCGTTCGGGGATGAAAATCTGTGCGTGTGCCTTTAAGACCTGTTTATCTGTTATTACATTTGCCTTAATCACCCAGCTGACTTCAGGCTATTGTCAAAATTGCTGCCGTGACATTTGCTCTTGGGATTCCTGGCCTCGTTGTTTGGACGATACTGCTTGACGTGTTGTTGTTCCAGTTGAAGTACTCAAAAACAAGGATTTATATGAGCTTATGGTGGATAGTATAGGGTTGGGCAGCTGATGCAAAGTAGATGCTGCTGAAGTTGCATCTGCTTATAATAATTTCTATATATATATATATATATATATATATATATATGTGTGTGTGCGTGTGTGTGTGTGTGTGTTGATATTATATATTAAGATAGGAAGAGTTCAGATGCAAAAACCTTTAAATGCCATCTGAAATTCTCTCCTAACATGAGCATTTTTCGCAACCTCCTATGTTTATGTTCTAGTATTTCACTGAAGGCAATGAAAAGAACGTATTTCTCACTTTAAAAGCAAAATTTCTACACGCAAGAGTCTTAGAAGGATTTAGAGTTTTTTGCATCTAAACCGTTTGTGTGTGTGTGTTTGTTTATATATATATATATATATATATATATATATATATATATATATATATATATATATATATATAATAGGTATGATAACCTAATCATATATGGGTATGATAACCTTGGATAAAAATATCACGGTTTCACGGTATTGTGCTCACTGCTCTAAAAGATATTCTTTTTCAATGTCTGAGTAAAAAAACAACCAATTTTTCCCCTTTGAAAACAATATATTTTATTTTTTGAAAGTTTATAATATTTTGGAGCAGTAAACATGGCAGGCTAAATAATCAAAATGAATCATAGACTTCTGCTGTCTTCATTTGTTTCAAAAACACAGATTTCTTTACATTTTAAAATGGCATCTTTGGATATTTTTTCTGCTGGAAATAATGTTGTTGTAAAAAAAATGTAAATAAAAATCTTACTTATACCTTAGGAACTGTATTACAGAAAACTTTGTCGGTTTTAAAACCTTGACTTTTAAACCGCAGTATTCCTTGAAAACGGTTATCGTCCGATGCCTAATATATAGTATATATTGTCATATATTGTTTACGAAGATGTAAAAAGAAATCTCAGTAGTGTGGGCAAAATGTAATGTTTAAAAAGTAAAGATTTGTAGTGAGTCTAAATTAATAGTTAGAAAAAACTGTATACTGAATATTAGGGTCCTTCTATGAAGAGAAAATCATCTATTTTTCCCAAAATCATACATATTTTTAATGACAAAGACATAAGATTATCTACAGAAGTAGATTATATCATGTAATAGTATTTACATTGTTTAACAGAAATGCATATAAATGTAAGTTGTCACTATATTTCTAAATAATAAGTCTCTCATTTTATTATGATTTTACTAAAACAATTAAAGTATGTGTTATCCATTAAACCCTAGTTTCTTTGCTCTATTAAAAGTTAATCTCGCAACATTAATGGTGATTAAAAAAAACAATGAGAGATTTTTCAGCCAAAAGACACCTGTACCTTGGCCTGACAATGAAAAAAGTGAAAGTATAAACTGTCACTCAGGTGAGAGAAGGTATGAAGACTATTGTGCACAACATGTTTTGTATCATCTTCGTAATTTGGAGTTTTTGTCACCTATCGTACAGTTGGCTTTACAGGGTAATGTTCCTGATAAACTTCCGGCAAACAAGTTGGACTTTGTTTTCAAGGGCGATGCAAATGTATCACTTCATAAACTCTGGGGATGTTGATTTATGTTGATGTTCTTATATTGATGTTGTTGCTATAGTCATCTCCATTTGCATGTGGGTGATGCTCATTAATCAGTTTGACAAGATAACCATTCAGTCAATGTGGTCTTTAAGAGTCACGCGCTTCCCTGTAGTAAACAGGAATGCATTGGGTGGGATGCCCCTTATTCGGGCTCTTCCTGGTTCTGTTATTTGTGTTTGGCTTTCACTGTGAGTGGATTCTCTGTCCTGGGTGTTGTAGAGTTGACGTCAGTAATGAGATTACACTCCAGTGTGTCTGCTTCTGTAAGGACCGCCAGTGTCCTCTTGCAACCCATCGCTAGCAGGTGCCACCTCACATCCCATCACCACGAGCTAGCCATAGTGTGACCCAGTTTCCAGGAGTCATAAATGTTTCTTTATGTCTTACTACACCACTGGAAGCCGCAAGTTTTTCTTATGGTGCCCTTGATTGTGGAGGTTAATGATTTACTTGGAAGATGTTATGCTGGCGCCGGTTAAACACAAGCAATTCAGTAACGCCACTGTAAAGTGCAGTATTGGCAGAGTGCTTGCTCTCGATATGTGCTTTCCATTTTATGAAGTGCTTTTCAAGGGAAGGTTTTAGAATGGCTATTATGCATGAAATGGCAGTAACATTGCTGGTCTACCTTTTTTGGCAAATCTGCCATTCTCATGTGGCTGATTTGTGTCATTCTCTGTTATGTAGTGGGGGAAATAGAGCTATACAGTCATTTTCCTTCTAACAGGACCATCCAGTTTTATTACAGATAGAGACACTTGATCACTTGTACACCTGGGAATTTACTGTTACTCTATTGGTATATTATTTATGCAATAAATGTGGAACGTTAACACATTTTTTCATATGTTGATATGGCAAATATTAAGTGTTTTTTTCTCTCTATTTTTTCGGTGATAGTCCATTTTGGCGAAGTTAATACTTTTTCAGGGTGTTCAGTAGGGCTGTCACGATTTCGATTATCGAAATTTATGCTCAATTTCTATTATCGTATCAAAAAAATAGAATCGTCGATGCTGCCACGCCCCCATGTCACGTCAGCTTGGCTTGCCAAGCGGGAAAAAAACAGGCTTGTTGAAGTGCTTGTTAAACTGCAGAAGCAGGAGACCCGTCGACAGAGCTTAAACCCTCTCCTCTTTCAATGAAGTCGCCGGTGTGTAAGCATTTTGGATTTCCAGTGAGTTATGTTGACAACGTTCGTGTTGTTGACAAAAAAAACACAGTTTTGCAAGCTCTGCTATGTACGTATTACGTACGGTTCGTCCGATAGACAACACCGGCATCGCGATCCTCCGCCCGCCCACGTTGCAAATCCGCTCGCGAAAAGTACACACTCAGGCCCTGTTGACACTGTCTGTTTTTAAATGGCATTTTAGAACGACAACGATTTGACATCCACAGTGGCGTGTAGCATTTCTGAGCAGCCCTTCTTCCTCACTTCGGCTGAAAATGCACATCACGTGACCACACAGACACAGCCATGCGCTCCAGACTGCAGGTCCAGGCAGTCAGAGGACTGCTTCAATCTATCACTCACTTGTACTAAGTCATTTTAGCGAACACCTCAGATACTGTTGGCTGGTTCCTGTTGGTTGTGCGTCTTTTTTATCTACGCCATTATAACAACACAGATCACTGCCTATTCACGAGTCCCGCAGAAAAAGTGATTGACAGGTGGTAATTATGTGTGTATCTTGCCTTTATTCATTTACTGTATGATTTGTTTATGGGTAAAACAAAGACCATGCAGGTCAGGTAGTTTAAACTGTAGGCTACAAATAATTAATTGGTCATTAATTAATTAATTATTCATAATCGAAAATCGAATCGAATCGTGCCTTTAGAATCGAAAATGTAATCGAATCGAGGATTTGGAGGATCGTGACACCCTTAGTGTTCAGTGTTTTTAAATTTGTAGTTAAATTTTCTAGGGTTATTTGGCCTGGACAATAAAGAAAAATTATATATTTTATTTGTAATATAAAAAATGGTATGAAAAGGTATGAAAACTCAAGTAAAGTCATGTTTCTCAGTGGATCTTGCTGTAAGATATACATTTTAGTATATGTTAGGGCTGCACAATTAATCAAAAAAAGATTGCAATCTCGATTCGACTCTACACACGATCTTAATTCAGCTTTTTTATGATTTAGCCAATTATATGTTCAAGGTTAGAAGAGAAGCGTAAAGGCAGTCGCACAAGTCTTCCCATTGTTTTATATACGTTGCTCAGCAGCATGAACACCTCCAAAATAGGGCTGGGCGGTATATCGAGTTTTGGTTGATTCTCAATATTGTTCATATCGATATGGTTTGAGGCCCCATGTATGTATTCTGCGCAAAACAGACCACTCCAAGGTAGCACGCAAGCTCAACTTGCTCATAAGTGCGCATGCCCAAATTAATGATTCACTCCATGGGTCATACAAAAGATTTGTTTAAAATGAACGAATTGTTGAAGAATGACCTATCACTACATGCGACATGGAGGAACATGCAGTGCCGGTGTTGTATCAAAGTCCGACTGCCCGGACAAATATGACTCCCCCTCGCATGCACGCATGTCACACAGCGCCTGCTGCTGTCTCAGCGGTTTATCTGAAACCTTTTATCGACCATTTCTTCCTCTGTTGACAGCAAGAACGAACATAGAAGCCTTGTCAAATTGACAAGCAGCACCTGAATGTGTTCACAAGAATTAAAAATGCCAAAATGGGAGGAATTTATACTCCTTTTTGAAAGTGAAACCACCTCATATTCACTGATTATAAGTTCAGTATTTATTACACAATGGTCTTTTCTTTACATTTACATTATAATGATGTGTTCACACCAGACGCAGAACTCGCGAATAAATTGTGCTATTAGCGCGTAAATAGCCGTCTGAACATTTGGGTTTACTTGCTTCATTCGAGTGTCAAACCCCGCTTCATTCGCACGTCAAATCCGCCTTAGAACAGATGCGGATTCGCGTGATGGGCAGGGCTTCTGTCTGCCCGGTGACGGTGTTTATGTGCTTTATGAAGGCTGGAAAACAGCGTTAAAACGTTTAGGGCTGTGTCTGAGTCCACTAGATCCTTTCAGAGGTGCATCCAGCTCTATGAGCTCATAAACTCCTCCAGAAACTTAACCTGGATGATGGAGGCTTTCAGCGGTGCTTCTG